CAGAAATTGTTAACATTATTCTATAAGCATTTGGAAAAGAATCAAGTCTTTTTATATGATTAAGTATATCGATTAGAGTATCATCTTCTACATGTATTATTTCCCTTAAAACTTTTAATTCAGAAAATAAGTCTAAACCATCAATATCAGAGTGACTATTATATTTCAAAGATTTAAAATTTTTACTATTCGCTACAAATTTATCAAGTGCTCCTTTTGGGGATTGTATTAGAGTTTCAATTCTTTTCCTCTTTTGACGTTTTGAACATCCGGATTTATATTTTCTAGTTGACAACTCTAATAAATAACTAAAAATACAATATATACTTACAAAGAAAATATATCCAAAAAATTAAAAAGTAGATGTAAATAATAAAATATAGAACAATCAAACCTGATTCAACAAATAGATAATTTAATAAGCTTTTGCTACTTCAATTTTTTTTGATGCAACGCAAAAATACTTGAGAATAAATAAAACAAATGATACTTGTGTTCTGCTCTTTTATTCCGTGATAGTGATTCAATGAGATTGAAATGTAGAGAAGACCAAAGAAACAATAGAAGAGTAAAAGTTACTAGACTTTTGTAGAGAAAGATAAAAAGAGATAAAAGAATGTGGGTCCATTTATAATAATGATGGTACATAAATGAGTCAACATTGTGGAATGTTCACGCGTAAATAAGGCATGAATCCCAAAAATATATTCCTTTTTCAATTGTTCTCCAACGCCCCCTTCCCTTAAAACTTGCATTTTTTTTTCTTTTCAAATACTTAATATTGTTAAAAAAATGGACAAGTACATTAACTGTTAGAAAATTTTGGGCCCTAAAAATAAGGGTCCCTAAGCAACGACTTTATTTGCTTGGCCATTAGGCCGACCCCGGTGTTTGTCTTTATATACAAAGAAGAAGGAATCTTTCGATAACTAACTATGCCACTTGGCCTATGATTATTAGCTACTCTATAACAACTTATAAGATAAATACAGAAAATGATAATTTATCTACAAGGAAAGAATCTACACACAATCTTCTCTTCTCTTCTAGTACGCCCAAGAAACTTCAAACGAATTGGGCCCAATGGAAAATGGATCCATTTGAAATAACAACACCTCGAGCCCAATCAACTAGTAATACCCAGTTGTGAAAGTTTTCATTTGTGTCCGTTGGATTGAGGACACACGTTTTCATCTCGTCAAATCCTGAAGCTTCCAAATATCTTATGCATCTATTTTATTTGGACAGAACTCATCAACCTCGTTTGTGTCGGTCTTCTTCTTCATAATTTCAACTTCGTTTACTTTGCAATTCTTCTTCGAAGCATCATTAATTTCTGGAAATTGTGAAGCTCCGACTCCAACATCCCCCTCAAGTTGGAGGGATGTGAAACAACCCCCAACTTGCCCAATACAGATTTATGGATCGGACCAGAAAGGGATTTTGTGAAAACATCGGCAATATGAGAGAAGGAGGGTACAAATGCTAAAGAGATGAGGCCAGCAAGGTATTGCTGTCGTACAAAATGACAGTCAAGGTCGACATGCTTGGTGCGTTCGTGAAATGTGGGGTTTTTGGCTATGCGGATAGTGGCCTGATTATCGAAGTGAAGAGGCACAGGGATAGAAGGGGTAAGGGAAAGATCTTCAAGAAGACGAAGGAGCCAAGTGAGTTTGGCGACAACTATGCGCATAGACCGGTATTTCGCCTCGGCGGAGGATAGGGATACCAAAGACTGCTTCTTGGACTTCCAAGAAATTGGAGAAGAACCAATGAAGATGTAATAGCCACTTATAGATCTTCGAGTGTCTGTACATCGACCCCAATCGGAGTTACAAAAAGCAACAATCTTGAAAGAAAGACTGGATGATAAGAAAAGGGTATCTTAAACAGCGTAAAGCAGCATCAAAATGAGGATGACGAGGCGATTTCATGAATTGACTGAGGTGCCGGACAACAAAGGACAAGTCAGGGCGGGTATGAGTTAGATAATTGAGCTTGCCCAAGAGTTTGCAATAAATGAAAGGATCTGGTAAAAGAGCACCCTCGTTGATACGCAAGTGGCAACAAGGATCAAGAGGAGAAGAGGCTGGTTTGGAATCCAAGCATCCAAATTCAGAAAGAAGATCCAACGTAAATTTCCTTTGAGTTAATCTCGATACCCAAAAAATAATGTGCTTGACCCAAATCCTTGACTTTGAACTCAGAGTCTAGAAACAATTTAAGAGAGTCAATTTTTGTAGGGTCATCTCCCGTTAGTAAGATGTTGTCGACATAGACAACAATGATAGTAGTCTTGCCTGCTGATTTCTTGAAAAATAGTGAGTAATCGTTGAGTGAATGAGAGTAACCCTTGAAATTTAAAGCGGCAGTAAGCCTGGCATACCAATGTCTAGAGGCTTGTCTTAACCCATAGAGAGATTTGCGCAACTTGCAAACATGAGCAGGGGTGGGAGGAGTAAGCCCAGCTGGAAACTTCATGTAGACCTCCTCCTGTAAGTCACCACGGAGGAAGGGATTGTTGACGTCCAACTGGTAAACACCCCATTGCTTCTTAACTGCCACTACCAACAAACATCAGATCGTGGTCAACTTAACAACTGGGGAGTAGGTCTCATTGAAATCAATTCCTTCCCTTTGTATGTCACCCCTAATGACCAACCGGGCTTTAAATCTCTCCACTGAACCATCCTTCTTATATTTCACCTTGTAAACCCATTTACAAGGCAATGCTTTCCTATCCTTAGGCAATTTCACAACCTCCCAGGTTTTGTTTGCCTCTAATGCTGCAAATTCTTTGTTCATGGCTTCCTGCCAACTTGGATGAAGACAAGCTTAGGAAAAGGAAGCGGGTTCAGAAATATAGGAAATAGTGTTTAGAATATTTTGGTTAGAAGAAGATAGGGCAGAAAAAGATAAGATAGGAGGGGAAACATGGAAAGCAAAATAGTTGGTAGTCAGATTAGTTAAAACAACTGAATTGCAAATATAATCATCTAAATAAGAGGGTAAGTGATGTTCTCTGGTGGACCTTCTGAGAGCAGGTTGAGAAGGTAGAGGAGTAGGAAAGATTGGTGAATGAAACTGAGGAGAAGGAACCGGGGAAGAGTGAGATTTAGAGAGTGAAAGAGGAGAAGTAGAAGTGGGAGGTGTAAAGTGTAAAGGAGAAAGAGCAGATTGAAGAAGGGATTGTGGTAAAGAAACAGTTCTAGAAGAAATAGGTCTAGATTGTTAAGATGGAGAAGGCATAGAAGAGGGAGGTTCAGGTGCTGCTTCAGTAGTAGTGTCAATGGCATGGGAAGGCATTCTGACTGGAAATATAGGTGAAGGGGGCATGACAGAGGCAAAGGGGAAAATGTGTTCATGGAAAGTAACATCTCTAGAAACAAATACCTTGTGAGTTTGTAGATCAAGTAGCTTATATCCCTTCTTTCCAGAAGGGTATCCCAAAAACACACATTTAACTGATCGGGGATCTAGCTTGGATCTATGTGTAGGTAGTGTTGAAGTATAGCATAGGCAACCAAAAACTCTTAATGTATCATAGCTAGGTGGTTGACCAAACAAGAGTTCATAAGGATTCTTCATTTTTTGGACCTTAGATGGAAATCTGTTAATTAAAAAGGTTGCTGTGAACAAGCAATCTCCCCAAAACTTGAGTGGAAGATTAGATTGAAAGAGTAATGCCCTGCAGGTTTCAATTAAATGCATGTGCTTCCTCTCAAAAATCCCATTTTGTTGGGGAGAGGGAACACAAGTTGTTTGATGAAGAATACCTTGAGAGGCAAGGAACTGTGAGGTACTGTAACTGGATCCCAACTCAAGGGCATTGTCTGATCTTATAATTTTTACTTTGGTGTGAAACTATCTCTCAGTCATGGCTAAGAATTGTTTGAGCATGGTGAAAGCATTAGACTTAGCTTTGAGGAGAAATGTCAACGTCCCTCTACTATAATCATCTACTATAGTAAGAAAGTATTTGTATCCATCATAAGCGTGTGTTTTGTAAGGTTCCCAAGTATCAACATGAATAAGATCAAAGATGTGTCTAGTTATTATAGAGCTAGAAGTGAAATGTAGTTTGACTTGTCTAGCTTTAACACAAATATCACAAGGCTGAAAATTAGAAGGAGAAGAAGAATAAGAAATAGAATAAATGCATGTCATATTAGAAAAAGGCATATGTCCCAGTCTATTATGCCATAAACTTACATCTTTAGAAATAGATGCTAAACATAAACTAGAATTAGAAACTAGCGTACTAGCATTTTGATAACAAGCAGAATGGATAAAAGCCTTGATTAAATTAGAAATTACTACTCTAGGCTTGATAAACTTGACTTGACCAACTTGACTTGAATGGACTGAATTGAAGAGATAGATCCCCTTAGTGACCTTACCAAGCACCACTGGCCTCTTCAGTGAAGGGGCCTGCAGTGTTGCACCAAAAGAGGAGAAAATTAGAAGTGAATAAAATTGCAAACATAATTTGTGCACTGATAATAAGTTGTAGTTGAAACTTGGCACAAACAAAACACGATGAAGAGTAAATCCAGGTAGAATGGTTACTGATCCTGCCTGATAAACTAACACCTTAGTAGAATTAGGCAATCTTACATAGACTAGTTTAGGAAGGAGTTTGACATTAAATAGAAGCTGCAAATCAGAGGTAGGTGCTCAGAAGCACCTGAATCTAAAATCCAAGAAACAGATTGTAGAGAAACACTGATATATATTTTGGAAGAGGATGAAGAATTAGATATACCAACACAATTAGCAGACACTATGTCTTCATTTTCCTGCTCACTTTGAGAACCAACTTTCACATGTTGAAGCAACTGGTAAAGGCTGTGGAATTGATCTTGTGTCATGGTTTGATCTCCTGCATTGCTTGTCTGAGAGTCTGATGTTTCCATATAAAGTACTACATTGCTCTTAGCTCCACTGAATCTTTTGGATTTAGTAAACTTAAAATCTGAAGGAAAACCAATCAATCTATACTAGTTTTCTATAGTGTGATTCTGCTTATTGCAATAGTTGCAGAACTGAGTTCCTTTCTTTATTTCTGTGTTGAATTTCTTAGCAGAGGTCACCTTTTGCCCTCCATAGGACTGTTGAGCAGCAACAAAGGAACTTTCAACTGGATGGTGAGAAATATATACTTCTCTTTGCTTCCCATCTCTGATAAGTAAAAAGTAGGCATGGTTGACTGAAGGCAATGGTGATAGCATAAGTAGATTGCTTCTGGCTGCTGCATAAGCATCATTCAGTCCGATACGGAACTGAATGAGTCTGCTATCTTGCTGAGATTTAAAGTTTTTTATTTTACCACCACATCTACAGGGACAGGTGCAGTGTTGACACACATCCAGGCTGTCCAACTCATCCCAGAGCCTTTTCAGCTTAGTATAGTATCCTGCTATATCTAAATTTTCTTGTGTTGACTCAGTCATCTCCTTTTGTAGGTGATAAAATTGTGGTCCATTACTCTGACCAAACCTTCCTTCAAGCTCATCCCAGATGTCCTTTGCTGTCTTGGAGTATAGAACACTCTCTGCTATTGCTTTAGAAAGAGAGTTCAATAGCCAAGAAATGACAATGTCATTACAACGGGTCCAAAATTTGAAAACATCAGAAGAGATTTTGGGTTGAAGGAAGATTCCATCAATGAACCCTATCTTGTTTTTCACAGACAAGGCTATGAGCATTCCTCTTCTCCAACCCCCATATACTTTTCCATCAAAAGCAGTTTTAACAAGAAGCATGCCAGGTGAATCTGAAGGGTGAAGGTAAAAGGGATGAGAGGAGTCAAGAAGTACAGAACCAGCTGGTGAAGCACTAACTGTTGTCATCTGAGGAGAGCTTGTTTCTATCACAGATGGTGAATTGAGCTCGAGTTGGTCTCTCATGGCTGAGTTAAAAACAACAAAGAAGGAGAGAAAAGAATATTAGATATATTGAAGAAGGATCGAGCACTAAAGCTCTGATACCATGTTATGAGAATAAAAGAATGAAATAGTTATTAAGAGAATTTTCCGTGTATTTGATAATGAACTCTGTACAGTGCTTGTCTTTTAGCACGATCCGAAATTCCCACCTTCGGACCGTGATGGCGACTAATATTTTACTTGCTAGGCAAGCCAACGTTAGAATAATATTAATCAATTTTTTAAACAATCTTTAAATCATTAATAATCAAAGAAACAAATGCGGAAGCAAAGTTTGAGATATAGTTAAATAATCCAAAAAATAACAACGGTGTCTAAATACCATCCCAGAATTGGTGTCACAAGTGCACGAGCTTCTAGAATAAATACAAATAAAGGTCTGAATAAAATAAAGCTGTCTAGAAATAAACACACAGCTAAAATAAAATAGACGGGGACTTCAGAACTGCGGACACCATGCAGTTATACCTCAAGTCTCCTCTGATAGCTGAAATCCGAGCAAGTCTATGGTACGCCGCTGGGACCAACTCCAAAATTTACACAAGAAGTGCAGAGTGTAGTATCAGTACAGTCGACCCCATGTACTGGTAAGTGCTGAACCTAACCTCGACGAAGTAGTGACGAGACTAAGGCGGGTCACTTACATTACCTGTATGCAATAT